TGTGATGATAGAATAAAAAGATGAAGAAAAAACCATGGTTCTCTCTCTTCTCTAATCTTGTGAAGTCTTCAATTTGTAGAATCTTGTCTTCGTCCTCAACCTTCTTCAAAATGTCTTCAAAATTTTAAAGCACGCGTTGCACTTTTTTTTCCTTAGATCGGTTTTTATCCCAAATGGGTTTTTCCGGCGAGGTTTTTAACGAGGCAACAACTATGTGCTACCTAAGGAGAATTCAACAGTATCCAAGGCTTTTTTTCAATCAACATCAAATACTGGGGGGCATCACCCTCGGAGGTTATATTTTCAAGAAAAATACTTCACGCTAAAGAGGGTCTCGATAGAAAAACTTTGTAATGGGCCAAACGGTCGGATGAACTGTGCCCATATAGAATAGTCGAGTCCCGATGGCAAAACATGTACGCATGTATGAATTATTCAAAGAAGAATTCTTTTTATATCAAACACTATGTGTCTCAAAGAAATTTGTTACTATACGAGCTCCATACTTGTGATTCTGTGAGAAACGACTCAAGGGCCAAAACATAAATACACCCCGAATACTTGGGGACTGTCATCAATAGTCAACACATTCGAGTTATCTAAACTCGGATTCATAAGACCTCAATGAGGCACCCCTCGACTAGAGGCCAAGGCCATCATACTCGGGGACAAACATTTCAAACAAGTTTGAAATGTTATCGGGAAACAAGTCCAAGAGGCATACCCGATGGCTAGGACCATACTAAAGGCTATGGCTGAAATAACGCGGCCCAGAGACGTCCGAATCCCGCAATAAAAACGGGCCTTCGAATTCTCTGAAAACCAGTTAATAAAGGCTGCCCTCGGCAAAATAATCAAAGGGCTTCGATAAAATCAGCCCTTAAAAAACCTCAAGAGGTATCGAATTATTCAAATACACACTTGTACTATGGCGCAAAAAATAAAAGGGTCCCGATCGACACTTAACCCTCAAAAAATCCAATGGGTAAAAAAATAATGCATACTAAGGCATAAAGAAATTTTTACTAAGTCTTTTAAGCCGAAAAGAGGAAATAATAGCCATCTCTTAGAGGCCATAATGGCCTGATCTAAAAAAGCCAAAGGGCCAATACACTTAGGGTTCGAGATCTTGTTCTCACCCGATCAAAATCCACGGGTTCAAATATCTTGAGCCCAAATACACAATAACTTGATTATGGCTCGGGGACTCACCATTATCCGGCACAAGCGCTAAAGGGTCTATACCCCAAAGTTCGAACCATATTCGAACTCGACCACGACAATTCAAGGAAGCCATCCGAGACAAAATCTCGAACACGCCATTCAAAGAATGAAATTATTGCAAGAATTTTGCAAGACAAGAAACATTAAGAAGACATTCAAGGAATTTTTTTTATATACTTGAAAAGGATATGTACAAGAAACCGACGAGAGGTCTCACAAAAAGAAAAATTCAAAAAGAGAAAGAAAAATTCTATATATGCTCGGGGCTCGTTTCTCTATCGGGAGCAACTTCCTCTTCGGGCCCCTCTTCATTGTCAGATCCGCCTTGGCTGCCTTCATCATCATCGTCATCGTCGGAGGAGATGAGAAATCTGGCATCAGCCTCGAGCGCCTTTGCTAGAGCTATCTCTTCAGTGAGGTCTAAACCTCGAGCGCGGATTTCTTCGAGGCCAAATCATTACTTCATTTTTCCCGGTCGGAGGCTTCCCTTAGCTCCGTTTGAGCAGCCTCAGCATCCCTTAAGTACACGGCAATGGTTTTATCAATCGTTTCATTCGTCTCCTCGACCTTATCCCTGGCCTTTACAAGCTTGACATCGACCTCTTCAAGTTTGACCTCGAGTTCGTCGATCCTTTTGGCCTGGGTCAGATTATTCTCCTTTGCACCTCGGAGTCGGGTCTCAGCCGATGCCAGTTTAGTAAAAGCGCCCTCTCTTTCCACCGGCTGCAGTCGTCCTTGACCTATCGACCTCTCCTCGAATTAGCTCGATCCTATCTAGTTTTTGCTGCAGCTGAGACACTAAAGTGTTAGCCTTCACAGTTTGGTCGAGTAGACCATACTCTTTCAAAATCACAGTTACCTGCTTGTCTTGCTCGACCTCATTTTGGCCAGGTCAGCCGGAAGGTCCTTGAGCTCCTCCTCCTTTTGACTGTAAAGGAGTTTTAGGGCCTTCCCTTCATCCCAGGTCTTCTGAAGCTCGGCCTTGCATTGGCTCAGGTCGGCCTTGAACCTGGTGAAAGCCTACACAGAAAAAAGGAAATCAGTTAGGGAAAAGAGGGAAGAAGAAAAATGAAATTGCAACGACAGGAATCAATGCTTACTTGACAGAAAAGGCGTTGAGTCTCTTCGAAGAGAGTAGCGGCATCATCGACCCCGGTAAAGAAATCCCGGAAAGGATCTTCTTCACTGAGGACTCCGCTTAAGTCAGGCATGTGCAGCACTCAAGCCTCCCTTATGGCCTCCTCATAATAAGCCGGTAAAGGAGGAGAGTGAACTATTGTCATGGCCCCGAGCAAATCACTCGGGGTGCTCTGTTCGGTTCTGGGGATTTCGGAACCTGTCCCCTTTGGTGTGTTTATTGATGGTCGAGGAACAATCTCGACCTCAAGTGATTCACGGGCTTTGCCCGGTCTTTCTTCGGAGCCTCCTCACCACGAGGCAAGGTTTCCGGTTTGGAGGGCTTGGCAGCTTCGGTAGGTTTTCTAGTTCGGGTCACCATTGCCGATTCTCGCCCTTGTCTTCTTCTTCATCGTTCAGCTGGTACACTGAGTCAATGTCCACGTGAATGAGATTCCTCCTACGTCTTCAAGTAGGACCCCTTCCATCTTGGGGGTCTTCGGGCTTCGAAACCCTTTTTCACTTATTATCTTTCCCCGATTTTGGAATCGGGGATCCAGTCTCCTCCCTGGGCGGGGCTAGCCTCATTTCAGAGACATCTCCAATGCCTACACTAATAAAAATTAGGTACGAGTAAAATGACGAATCCAGTAAAGGGGAAAGTATCAAAAACTTGCGAGAAGAACTTACCATGGTGTTTGGCTTCCCATCTTCCCTTTGCCAAGTCACGCCATCGGGGCTCGTCATACGAGGAGGTCAGAGTTAGTTTAAAGACCCAATCTTCGAGGTTGGCGACTGCATGGGGCATCCAAGCAACCGCTGCAAAAAAGGTGGAGACATCACGCAATGTGAAAACAGAATACAAAAATCTACTAGGATAAAACTTCACTTACGATCGGGGTTCCACTTCTCTAGGAACGGCATTTTCTCCTCTGGGATGACGTCACAGGTCCTCACTCGCACAAATTGGCTCATCCAGCCTCAATCCTTATCCTCGTCATTGCTAGCAAAGAAGGCCTTGGTCGACCGACCTTGGAGCTTGATCAACCCTCAGAAAAGCTGAGGCCGATATAATCAGATAAGGTGATTGAGGGTGAACTCTAGTCCCTCGGCCTTGCCGGAGAAATAGCGAAGCATGATCACTATACGCCAGAAAGAAGGGTGGATCTGGCCGAGGGTGACCTGATACCTCTTGCAGAAGCCGATCACAATTGGATCGAGGGGACCCCATGTGAAGGGGTAAGTGTAACATTAGGAACCCCTCCACATGAGTAGTGATGCTCTCCTCGGGGGCAGGGATCTGTACCACGACCTCATCCCCCCAGCCACAGTCCTTCTTCATGGCCTTGAGGTGCTTCTCAATTATCGAGCATATATATCTCGATACATGCTTGCATCAGCCAGGAATCGCGGGGGGATTTTCAACTTTGAAGTCTTTCTTTATGAAACAGGGGCCGGGAATAATCTCGTGAAGGGCCGGCGATTTATCACCGGCCGGCGATTTATCACCGGCCGGCCAGGAAGAGGAGGAGGAAGCTTTCTCCTTTTGAGGAACTGTTTTGGAGGTTTTCGCCATTGATTTGGGTTAGAGGAAGCGAAAATAGGTAGAGCTTGATATCTTTCGGCAGTAAAAAGAACGAGAGTAACAGATAATGAGAGAGGAAGATGAAGAGGGAGAGAGATAAGGGAAGTTTGAAGGTGGTTTGAAGATGGAAGTAAAGTTTTTTATTCGAATTTGGGCCTTGTGTTTATAGACAAGCGACGACGGTTCAACGGCGCTAGTGGCCGACCACCACTGGCGAAACATTTAATGTTTTGGGGAAGCGAACCGACGGGACGTTTCGGTCACTTCGAGCGCCTACGTCACGGGGATGACATCATCATCTGGGACTCCAGAATATTGAGGCTCAAGCCGTTTCTTATCATTTATTCTAAGAAACGCGGGGACTATCTATATACAGTCGAAATTAGATGTGCCCGATTTTGTGGGCTCGAGGGGTCACTTCGAGAATAAGTTCAAAATGGACCGGGCTCGAGTCCGATGACGGAGTACAAAACTCGAAGATCGAAGTGCTTAATGAACACCGAGGCCAAGTATGATCAATCTCGAGATAATACCGCTATGGTTTCATAACAGAAAGAGCGAGATTCTCGCAGTGGCCCTAAGATCATGGCGTAAATTCCGGAACGGATTTGTGCTAGGCGGTTAGACAGCTGGGTAATAAGATTCCCTACTATAATTGGATGTGTACCTTATTTAGGATTCCCCTACTGTATAAAGGGAATCCCAATCATTTGTAACGCATCAATCATTGACAAGAGAATATACATACATCACTTTCTTGTTTACTGTTCATCTGAATTGCATTGCTATTATTTTATTGTTCTTATTCATCTACCTCGAGGTCGCCATAGCTCGAGATCGGGACTTGCTTACATACTGGTTTGACTTGCCTTACTCTTTAATTTATACACTTGATTCCTGGTTTATCAGTTAGTATTGGATTAAATCATATATCTTTAAAATCACAATACAAGTTTAATTGTTACTCGGATTTTAGGGTAGACAATATCCAATCGCCAGATTTGTTCACCTTGAAACAACTCAATATAATTATTACTAAAAAAAAAACGAGTTATATACTTCGTTAGCAATTCAATTGTAAAATCAGGATGAGATTTATACGATTCCAAAAAAAGAGATGAACAACACAAAGAAAAAACGTCACTCATTGGAAAAGAGATACACCGATAACAAAAAAGAAATAGGATTTGAGAAACAAGGAAAAACGTGACAACCAACACCGCGACTTACCATCCGACTCATGTCCATTTGAAATGGACGCAACAGGGTAGCCAATTATTCGCAAGACCCAAAATGGATCACCACCTATTTCACCCTCCATTTCATCCGATGATCCACCCAACACTTCCCCTCATTATCTTTCGTGATAGATCTGTCAGTAGTGTAATACAAGATTTCACCAATTTCGTGTCACTTCCATGTAGAAAACCTTTATTAGTGCCTGCAAAAATGTCAAAAGAGTATGTAATAGAGCAAGGCACCCGTGCAACAGTCAACATACTCCTCCATTAACTGCTTGAAATTTGGAGGGTTACTTGGCCTGCATATGAAAACCATGTATGTAGACCAAAACAAAATGAAGAAACAACAAAATCCAAAGTTGCCAATAGCATAAACCAAGGGGAAGAAATGACGAGGGTTTTAAATGTACAAAGGGAAACAAAGGAGGGGTTAGTGTTGTTAACCTACCGTGTGTTGGATCCTTGCATAACTTCTCCAAGATCTCCATATATCCCATGTTTCACTTCTCTATAGCACTGTAACCAACAAACAAGATAGAAAGAGAAGCGCATCAAAGATGACAAAGTAACATTGAGAAGAGCTTAGTCAATTTGTGAATGAATTAATTATGTTCACAGTTGAGCTAGAAAAACAAGGCCTCACCTAAAGGGGAACGAGCCCCAATCCCAAGTGGTAGAGGGTAAATAGGAATAACTTTACAATCTATACATTGTTTAAAATCTTTTCTTTTTTTTTTCTAATAAACACACACAAACTCTACACAGAAGATATGATCAAGATGAGGCTAACAACAGAAAATAAGACTTTTCTTTTTATTTTAACCACTGGCTACTTTAATGAGACAAGCACGACAGGCATATACTTTCTTGCTTTAACAGTTTGCCAGTGCATATCGTTTGCTCCGTACAAGTTTGATGTCACCTTTCTTGGATCCAAAGACTGCATATTTATATCAGTAGAGATATTAAGCTATTGGGCCAGAATAAGAAAAGATTATAGTAGCTATAAGCACGGGCTTACGGGTGAAACGGTGAAGAAAACCCAAGAAAGCTTTGAGAAAACCATTATACAACAAGTGGTACACTTTTTTTCTGCAATATATAGACCATAGGTAATTAGTATAACCTACATCAATTGCTTCATGCATATCAGGTGTGTCTTTGGTTATATGCTCTCCAATTCTTTGATATCCTCTGCATTCAAGATACATAAGCAATCATTAGTTAAGATAATATGTTGAATTTAAGATATAGGGTAATGACCAGATCACTAAACCTGTATCCAGTTGAGGCAGAAAGTTTGATCTTGAGTTTATCCTCATAAGGATGATGAAAATATTCACGTGCAATGCTTCTAATCTCTTTCATAGGGGAAAGACGGATACCATGGACCTTCTAAGAAAACGAGAAACGGAGAACAGAAAGAGGTCAAATGGACACTAAAACCACAACAATGTAGTTTGTCTAATGCATAGAATAACAATTTAACTTACGAAAGATCCAAACAAGACTTAAAACTCAGGAGAAGCTAAGCTTCGTTCACAGAGACAGCACACTATTTTCAAAAATATTGGAAATTCAATAGATATAAAAGCTAGGCTGCAATTAGGACCACCAATAACATCAAATAGAAAGAAAATTTAGTAGGAGAAGGAATAATTACGACGTAAAAAATCCAGCTTTTCTACAAGCCAGATCTAATTCTCCAACAACTTGAGCCACAACTTCATCTCCATATTCGGACGATCCAACTTGTCCAAAAGAGGACTTATACCTGTCTCATCCGAAAAAATAAAATTAATTTTCACAAAACCAGTGGAACAATATTAAGCAAGGTTTCAACAGCCATGTCAAGACAGGAAAGATAAAATGCTTTAGAGTTAAAAACAAAAGCAAATGCTTTCAATTTCTATTTTCTAGGAATCAAATAATTTTTAGCGGACCGCATGCACAATGGTAAAGCGTCTTATCTATACAAGGATATCACCAATATCATTTTGTTTCCAGTTACTCACCATCAAACAACATTGTTATGCCCACCTGAGATCGATGCAGCAAGGTAAACCAGTTGTTTACAAAACCAAAATGGATCACCACTGACAACAATTCCATTCGCTGATCCACCCAATGCTAGAGCAATTACCCTTATTAGATCTGCCAAAAAAGCGCGTGTATTTTCAGAGAGAAATTGAGTGGAGTGTTCTGTATCGTGGGTGAAGATGAGTGCAGGTGTGAGCGGAGTTATTGGCCAATAAAAAGTAGTGAGTCAGTGTACTTAGAGGTCGTTTGGTAGCTGGTTAGAAGAAAGGTTATTCATGTATAAGGGGTAACATAACTTATACCATGTTTGGTAGGCAATAGTTATTTTGTATAAAATTTTGCATAACTAATACCATGTTTGGTTGACATTTTTCAATTATGCATAAATAATACATGTATAAGTTATGAGTCAATCTGTGTATTATTTTATGCGGGGTAGAAGATGAAATAACTAATACATGTATTAATAATACATGGATAAAATACTGAAATGACAAATTTACCCCTATCACTTTACACATAAGGCTTCCTTATTTCTCTGCCAACCCGTCAACAGGTTTCACTTACTTTCACTTGCCAACTATATACCTTGTCTTCTCTCATTTTTAAAGAACAAACTAGCAAAAGCAAACTGGAGAAGCAACTAGAAAATGGAAATACCAAAACTAAGAAGTGAAAATCAAATATGTCTAAACTTCACATAGTTCAGTAGTATGACGAAGAAGTGAAAGTAACACCCAAAGTTTCTAACTAAATTGTTTCCTACATAAATGGAAAAAGAGAAAAAACAATGCAAAAGAAGGCCAGGGGTATAGTTGTAAACAAGCATTTTAATTTAAAATTTATATAATGTATATCAATTTCTAATACAACAAACCAAACATTCAAAAAAATAATCTCTGCATAACTAATACCTGCATAACTAATCCCTGCATTACTTATCCCTGCATAACTAATCCCTGCATAACTAATACATGTATAACTAATACCTGCATAACTCTAACCGGCAACCAAACGACCCCTTAAGGTATAGGTGTTAAACGGGTGGGCCAGGCCGGGCTGGGTTGCTATTTTTTGGACCCGTACGGGTTATAGTCCGGGCCGGTTACGGGTTGGGGCTTAACGGGTTTAACGGGTTCGGGTTCATCCGGGTAAAAATTGAACCGTAAGGGTTACGGGTTAAGGGGGGCGGGCCGGGCCGGGTTTAGTGTATTTTTTAATTTTTTTTTTGTATTTTGTATAACTATTGTAAGTTATATTAATAGTTTGTATTAATATAAAGAATACAAGGAAGATGGGGAAAAATTGCACTTATAAATTGCAAGTACTTTATTTCAAAATTACAAATTTAAAATTTGCATTTAAAAAGTAAATTAACAAAAAAATAGTAAAACTAAATTTTCATGCATAATAAATTAATAATACTTCAAATTAATCTAACAAACTAAAACATTAAGCATAAATACGTCTTATAATTTTAAAATAACACAAATTGTCTTAAAATCTTAAATACGAAGATCGGA